CTCAACCGCTGGAATAATGTAGCAAGTTGCTAGGGTCAATGATTTCTCTATTGAACCCTAACTCCCTCCTTTAATCCGCTGGATTTCTCTCAACGAACCCTCAAATTCCAACGAACCCTAATTGGGACATGTGCTTCTCAATTGCATCTTGGAGATCCCAACAGTCATCCGTTGTGTTGCCATTCTGATCGTGAAAAACACAATACTTGTTTCTGTCCAAGCCACCCTTGCTTTTAAGGGGTCGAGGTCTTTCGATGTTGCGCATCTCGATTTGAGCCACTTCCTTCCATATCCGAGATCTGGACATATTTAATGGTGTGTAGTTGTCATATTTGGTCCTCGGATATCGTTCGTCTGACCTCTTGTCATTAGAGTCAGATCCCTTGTTTGGCCCTCGTTGATCTCTGTCCTTGTTTTTCTTGCTAGGACTTCAGCGATTCAGGCTTCTCCCTCTGAAGTCACCATAAGCCTTTTGCATGTCCTCAACGTCGATGTATTTGTCCGACCTTCGTCGAAATTCCTCCAGATCGTTGACCGGGTTCTTGTAGATGGATTTTGGTAGTGGAGAGTCCCCATCTAATCCCGAAATGATCAAGTGTAAGTGGACTGGTTCAGTTAGGTTTCGAACCTCTTGAATCGATCGAGGTATTTTCTCAGTGATTCATTCTCCTTCTGCCAAAATCTCCCTAAAGCATAGGCCAACATGAGGTGCGCTTTACTTGTGGCGAAGTTCAACCGGAAAGTCTGAGCTAGGTCCTCAAATGAATCAATTGAGTTCCTGGGTAGCCTGGTTATCCAGGTCATCGCCTAACCTGTTAAGGTCGTAGCAAAGATTCTGGCCTTAATAGGTCCAGTTATCCCATTAAACAGCATCTCGGTCTTGAACGCCTCCAAATGGGCGTCTGGGTCCTGACTTCCGTCATAGAGATGTATCTTGGCACTCTTGAACCTTGGTGGTATTGTCAAGTTCATGAGCTTCTCAGTAAATGGGTTGTCATTAGCCTCTTCATCATGGAGATAATTATCCCCGTGGTTGTTGCCCTGTCCTCCGCCCTCCTGGTGGTTGCCGTAGCGAGGATTTTGCACATTCTCAGCTATCGTGGCCGTGTTCTAATGTTCTGGCCCGCCAGTTTCAGCTTGGCTTGCTCCTCCACCTTGGCCTTCGATGTTTTGATTTTGCAGCTCAGCTTCCAATGCCTCCATCCTCTGGGCATTCAACCTTTGTTGAGCCAGGAACCTGTTCTCCATCTCTTGCATCCTTTGGAGGATTACGTTCATGGCAGTATTGACCAGATGACCCTCGTTTCTGGGTTGTCATTTTGCGGAGGCGGGCGTGCAGACTTCACCGCTGGGTTGGACTGGGTCATGAATGGCGGCACTTCTGTGTCGACCTCTCCGACCTGGACATCCACCAAAACTGGAGTTGCGGTTGATTGGAGATATCCTAACGCAGATTGGAGCGGCAACGGTTGGGGTTGAGCACTGCTGGATGTTGAACGAGTGTTTGTCATCGTGGGATGGGAATTGAAATTTATCGTTTCCCACAGACGACGCCAATGTTAGGTCCTAGAAGATCGTATTGCTATACCGAATGGTATGCGCTCCGAAGATAACTCAAAGGTAGGTACCGTAATTGGCTTATAGCCAGTATCCTAATCACTGCGCACAAGCAATAAACTTATAGCCAAGACGTGAGTGTACGCACAGTGTTGGCAGTAATAGTAAATAAGTCAAAAAGTGTATACTTGGGGTCTTTAGCCTCTTATTTATAATGGTTACCTCTAGGGTTTGTGTAGAACTCCCAGTTGCAGTAGGATAAGGATTCTATCCTAAGTATCTTTACTGTTTAATATTGTTAGGATAATTGAATCTTTATCCTTTGATGATCTCCCAGATAAGTAGTTAGGATATGATATCTGTCCATAACATTTACTATATATTACTATAATATTAATTAAACTCAACTGAACCCATTAACCTATTAAGCGTGACGACGTCAAAATACTAGTCATTAATGATACCAGTTTTCTTTCTTTTATTTTTAAGGCGTGACACATGTTTTCTTTGAATCTTGAAGAAAGAAAAAGATGGAATACCAAAATCAAAAAGAACAAAAATCATAGGGAGTTTAGAAAAATAAATTAAAAAGCCGAAATGGACGACAATATCATATCTGTTGATAATAATTTCATTTAACGTATTTCATAAATTATATTGGGCAAATTTGATAAAACCCCTTGTAGTCAAGTGTCTTTTCAAAATACTAAAACAATTCACTTCTTTAAACTTCAACATTAAAACAATTAAGGGTATTAGTTTTCACAACAATAGGTGATAAGTGTTATCTTACGCAGTGACAAAATAAAATGGGCTATATGTGTTTTTTAAGAAAAAAAACTAAAAAAAGAGCTCAGTTTTCGATGTGAGAAGAGTAGGAAATAACACTCTCCTGCAGTACAAGAAAACGATTTCCCAACAATTAAACATATTTCACTTTTAAGATGAAAATACCGATAATCTCATCTCTGCCATGGCTGCCATAGTTAGCGGCCAACACTGCCACCATCAAGGGAATAACCCTCTGTCGCCGCCTATTGGCTTGCTGCAACAGCCCTCTAGTCACCACCCCATTTGTTGGCTACTATAGCTATTTTGGTTTCTCCACTGATGTGATCCTATCAACGGAATTTTGGTTCAAATCTAATGAGGGTAATTTTAAAGTTTCACTTGCATTTTTTGAGGAATAAGCCTGCTCAAGTTGTTGTACGAAAGATCAAGAAATACTGGACTTAAATTTTCAGTAGAAACTAATGGACTATTTGGATTTTGAAGTTAAATAAGAATTGATTTTTTGTTGGAGAGGTTAAGGGTGTGCATGACAACCATTATATTCCCTAGCACTGTTTCTGAAAAGAAACAATTCTTTTCTATTTCTGTTCCTTGAAACAATTTCTGAGAAAAAAATGTGTTTGATAACATATTCTATTTTTATTCCGAGAATGAGAATTACGTTTGATAACATAACAAATAATATAATAAAGAATAATTCCTATTAAATGTAAAAAATATTCGGATCTTCACTTTCCTTTCCATATGATGTGGTTGTGGTGGTGGCGGCGCGGGGGGAAGGGGTGGCATAGTGGTGGTGGTGGTGGTGGTGGCGGCGGCGGCAGTGACGTGGTGATGATAGTGGTGGTGGTTGTTATGGCAGTGGCTGTGGCGATGGCGGTGGTAATGGTGGCGGCGACAGCGATAGTGGTGGGGATGGTGGTGGAGGAGGTGACGGCAGTGGCTGCGACAATGGTGGTGGGGATGGTGGTTGGTGGCATTGATGGCGGTGACAATGGTAGTGGTGGCATGGTAGTGGTGGTTGTGATAGCATCATGGAGGTGGTGGCATGGTAGTGGTGGTTGTGATAGCATCATGGAGGTGGTGGTGGTAGGTGATAGTGGTGGTGGTGGTGGTGTAATGGTGGCGATGGTGGTGGTGGTGACGGTAGTGGCTGTGACGATGGTGGTGGTGGTTGGTGGCGGTGTCGGTGGTAGCTGCAGCAATGATAGTGGTGGTGATGGTAGCGACGACGTTGTGGTGGTGGTAGTGGTGGCGGTGGTGGTGGTGTGGTGATGGCGATGGTGGCGGCAGTGATTGCGATGATGGTGGTGGTGGTTGATGGCGGTAGTGGTGATGGTGGTGGTGACGGTGATGGTGATAGTGGTGGTGGTGGTGGTGGTTGCAGCGGTGGTAGTTGTGGTGGTGGTGATGGTGGCATGGGGGTAGTGATGGGTGAAGGTGGTGGTGATGGTGGCGATGTCATCGAGGTGGTGGGGGGTGGTCACGACAGCACTAATGGTACGACGGCAGCAGTGACGATGATGGTGGTGGTCGTGTTGGGAAGATGGTGGTGGTGGTGATGGTGGTGATGATGATATAGATGGAGAGTAATTAAGAGAGATAAATGTTTCTCATTTTGTGCGCGGGAACAAAAAAACAGAAATTTTTTGATTCTTTTTTCTGTTCCCCAGCACAAAAATTAATCTGGTTCATCCCGAGAACAAAAAAATAAACCAATTTTACCAAACGAGTTTTCTATCCATTTCTGTTCCCGGGAACAGAAATTAAAAAAAAATAATTCCGGAAAGATTATCATGCGCACCCCCTGATAGTAGTCAATTTGGTTGAGGAACAAAGAAATATGATTAAAACTGAGGTAAATCTCTTTTAAATGTAGTTAATTAACCTTAAAAATAGAGTAGTTTCATTTGGAGTATTCTTATCTTTGTACAATTGTACATACGTATAAATATTATGGTTCTGTCGAAATATTTTATCATTCATCAAACTAAATTCCTTTTACAGCTACCTCTTATGGATTAACGAATAAAATTGGAATTGTCTGATATATCATATGGTAAACCAACCTCAAATAATAATAACAAAAAAAATGATTTATTATTCTCATGTTACATAAGAAAAAACTTATCTTTTACACATATAATTTTAAGATGGATCCCACTCTACTTTTTTTTTCTCTTCCCTTGAAAGTGGACCCTACTTCTACAAATGAGTCAATAGTAGATAATTATTATTTTTTACTACCTGAGAAAACTATTACCAAAAAAAACAAAAGAAAGAAAGCGAACCTTACAAATTGAAAAAAAAAACAAACTCAGGAAAAGTCAAAACTAGATGGCAGACAGTGATGTAGTGGTGAGGATAGGGTTATTTTCGTCTTAAAATATGTTTAATTGTTATAAATTTATAGTTGAAGGGGGTTAATTATTTGTATTGTAAATATAACGTGGTTTTATATAATTTATCCAATTATATTTTCGAACTTTCAACGCGGTTAGATGGAAATAATTTTATATTATCACTGATTGGGATATTTGTGAAAATGGAATGGAAAGTCAACATAGAAATTGGAACTGTGAAAGTGAAATTTAAATAAGAATCGATCGAATAGCGTTGCCGCCGTTGCGTGGGTGAGCAGTAAGGCCAAAAGAAGAAAGTGATCTCGAATAGGGGTGCAGAAATAAAAAAAGAAAAAGAAAAAAAGAAGCAACATTTGACAAAAGGGCACGGACGAGAGGGAGGGACATGTTAGTACCAAAAAAAGAAAAAAGAAAGAAAGAAAAGGAATAGGAGGGACATGTGAGAACAGTGGACATTAAATAGAACAAGGGCATTTTGGGTCCCCAACCTCGCCTCACACTTCAAATATCCCATTCCCCTCTCTCTCCCCATTCTCAGATCTCAGAGGTTCTCTTCTCTCAAGTAAGCTCTTTCTTTTAACTCTTACTGTACTTCTTTCCATTCATTCGCTGCCCATTGGTGTGATTGATTTCCTTAGAATTGTTAAAAATCTCATCTAATTTATATTTTCTGGTTCGTTTTTCTCGTGTCTAGTAATAATTTTCTCTATTTATTATTGTTTTGTGCAAAATTCAATTGTGTTTGTGTTTACTGGGGTGGGAAGGAAGGGATTGAGATGAAATCCCAGCTGTGGAGGTGGAGAGAGTACTCATTTTTCTGCATCCATCATCATCTACCATAACCACAACTTTGTTTTCTTTCATAGTTTCATAGTCATTACGCCAGGGTTGGACTCATCGGCAAATCGAATTACTAAATTATTCCGAAAAAAAAATACCATAACATAATCATAAATGACTATAAATAAATAAAATTATTTTCTTAGTAATAATAATATTATTATTTTAAATTTATTTAAAGAGATAGCGAGTGTCTTGGGCATGCAACAACCGCGTTTGTGTCAGGTGATTGCACATTTGCACAGCACGACGCGTGGATGTAGCTGTACCTGATGCACAGCCAGTTGTCCATGATATGCAGGCACGAATAAAAGATAGAAATTAAACTGGTCAAAATCTGTGTCTATTTTTTTTTTTTTTTTTTTTTTTTAAATTTGTCCGCGAGCTTATCGTGGTCATACGGTTCTAGTTTGTTCCTTCGGCGGTGTATTGGTCTTTCTCTTGGGGCGGGACATGGTGGAGTGTAGGCCCATGTAGGTGGGGACACGTTGGTGATAGTGTGGGGAAAGTGTCATAATAACGTTTAGTTGTCATCTTTTATTTATGGGTTTAAGTTTTCTTATGTTATAGGATTGTAGGAGAGAAAAAAAGTAGAGAGAAGTTAAATGTGGGTCCCATATTTTATATTAAAAAAGAAAAGAAAAATTAATTGGCACGGAAAACGAATTTGTGTAGGAAAATAATGTAATCTCATGTGGCATGAGAGTATTATTTCCCTTTATTTATTCGTTTATTTTGAAGTAGTATTCAGTCGTTTCAAAGCTAATCATAACACAAGAGAATGGATCAGCCCATGGATCAGCCAAAGTAAAGGCCCATACGTCAGGAAACATACAAGCTCCTCAACCAAGCTCTCATGCAACGTCACTGATATATATGCATGCAACTGATCATGATAGATAGGGTGATGAGTCAGTTACAACAGAATTTGTTATTCAACTAAGTTGGTTAGATTATTAGTTTTAACAGTTTTCTGTTTATGTTGTAGCGAGTGTAATTAGCTTGTAACTAGCTCTTATATATATGAGAGCCTCAATGTAAACGTGATGAGATTCAGTAATGAAAATATTCATTTCCTTCAATTTCGTTTCTGATATGGTATCAGAGCTTCCATAGCTCTGGTACTTTGCTTTCGATTCTTGAATTCTTGATTTCTTTTGCTGTAACAATGATCCTGTGCTAGATTACCAAACAAATCCTTCACATCCTCTCTTCCTCCACCCAAATGAAAATCCTTCTTTGGTGTTGGTTTCACCTCCTCTAACCGGAAACAACTACCATAGCTGGGCTAGAGGAATGGCAGTGGCTTTACTTTCGAAGAACAAGGTTGGATTCATTGATGGAACGATAACAGATCCATCATCTGATGATCCATCGTATGTGCAATGGCAAGATGCAACACAATGGTAATGGCGTGGATTCACAGATCCATATTTGAATCCATTACTAACTCCATATTGTGGATAGAGCGTGCTCGAGATGCATGGCTTGATCTTCGTGAGAGATTCTCACAATCGGATATCTTCCGAGTTTCTGATCTCCAAGAAGAGATGTACAAGCTGAATCAAGGAAATCAGACTGTTACTGAGTTTTTTACAAAGCTCAAAACCATGTAGGATGAGGTGGAAAATCTGAAACCACTGCCTGTATGTGAATGTTCTCCACCCTGCACCTGTGGAGCAATGTTGAAGATGCGTGAGTATCGTGACAAAGATCACACAATTAGGTTCCTCAAGGGTCTCAATGACCAATATGCAGCAGTGCGTTCACAAGTGATGTTAATAGATCCATTACCACATGTTAACAAAGTATTCTCAATGATTGTCCAGCAAGAAAGGCAATTTTCTTCTGAAACAAATAGTGGAATTTTGACAAATCCACAGTCCTTTGCTGCATTCAATAACAATACAGGCAATGGAAATCGTAGATCTAGTTTCTTCACTCAACCAGGAATGAGAGGTGGTAGAGGTCAAGGAAGGAACAATTTTGGACGAACTTCATTTGGTAACAAGATATGTACACACTGTGGCAGATCTAATCACACTATAGAGACCTGCTATCAGCTCCATGGCTATCCACCAGGCTATCGGTCTCGATTGAGTTCAGATACTCATGCCAGCAACAATGTGCAAACTGCAAATATGAATGTTGACGAGCAACTCACAAAACCATATTCCATGCCATCTCCTTCCCAGTTAACTCAAGAGCAATATGAACATATCCTTTCACTCCTTCAGTCTTCACAAAATCCTACCACAAGTAATGTGATTCCCACACACCTTGCAAACATCACACAAGTCTCCCACACTGAGTCCAACAAATCAGGTATCTCACATTCACGATGGATCATTGACATAGGAGCCACTGATCACATCACATTCGTTGCCTCAAATTTTTCCTCTCTTCGTAAAATCAATCCTATTCACATTACTTTACCTAATGGATCACAAGTTATATCTTACTTTTCTGGAACAGTGTATCTGTCATCCACTTTTGTTCTGTTAAATGTTTTGTTTGTGCCTGAATTTCGAGTCAACTTGATCTCTGTTACTCAATTACTTAATTCTGTCAATTGCTCATTAACATTTCATAATCGTTTTTGTTTCATCAAACAGATACCATCCCAGGAAATGATTGGTACTGCTGAATTGTGGAACGGTCTATATGTGATATCTGCCAAGGAGAATAAAGTCTGTAATGGTCAAGGAACTGAAGACAGAAGATCAGAGAACACTGATCTGTACAAAGGCTCAACTAGTGCAGCCCTATGGCATAGGCGTTTAGGACATTTATCAGATGCTGTATTAGATAAAATGTCTTATCAATTTCCTTTTATTAGTTCATCTAATGTACAACCATGTGATGCTTGCCATATGGCAAAGCAAAAACATCTTCCATTTCCTGTTAGCCAAAATAAATCAACCAGCATTTTCGATATTCTCCATGCTGACATATGGGGACCCTTTGCAATCCCTTCAATCTAGGGCCACAAATATTTCTTAACCTGTGTTGATGATCTCTCTCGGTTCACATGGGTGATACTGATGAAAAATAAAGGAGAGACACGATCACATATTCAAAATTTCTTTGCCTATGTTGAAAACCAATTTCACTCAACTATAAAAATTTTTAGAAGTGACAATGGTGTTGAGTTTGTCATGACTGATTTTTTTCTTAAAAGAGGAGTTATACACCAAACAAGCTGCATAGAAACACCCCAACAAAATTCCACTGTTGAGCGCAAGCATCAACACTTGCTTAATGTAGCAAGGTCATTGTCTTTCCAAGCCTCTTTACCCCTTCCCTTGTGGTCATTTGCAGTGACTCATGCTGCGCATTTAATAAATAGAACCTGCTCTCCTGTGATAAATGGCAAGACCCCATGTGAGATTCTGCATGGCTTACCTCCCATACTTATTCATCTGCGTGTCTTTGGCAGTCTGTGTTATGCTTCAACACTCCACGCTCACCGTACAAAATTTGCAGCTAGAGCTCGCAAAGCAGCCTTTCTTGGTTTTAAGGATGGAACCAAAGGGTTTCTGCTATATGATCTTGTATCTCATTCCATTTTTGTCTAAAAGAAATGTGGTTTCTTATGAAATCACTTTCCATTTCACCATACACTTTCACCCATCAAGCCTTTACACTGCCACCTGACCTCAACCAAGCCCTTGACTTTGACACTTATCTCTTTCACCCACAACCTTCCATTACGTTACCTCCCATTCCCACTAAAGATAACATAAACCACAATCCTTATGTTGCTACTGACCTAAGCTCAAATGTGGATTCTGATGCTGGTACAGATATTGTCAATACTACTTTGACTCCTTTGCCTACTACTCTTCGACGATCTACACGCATCAAACAAGCTCCTCACTATCTGGTAGATTATCACCATGCCCTTTACACTGTTCAGCAGCATTCTTCATCTCCAGGTTCCTACACCCAATCTTCTTCTATTAATTGTTGTTCTTATCCTTTATCCTTTATCTCAATATCTTTCTTATGATAATTGTTGTCCTTCATATAAACCCTTTTGTTTTAATTCTTGCACACACACTGAACCACGATCATATTCCCAAGCTGTTCAACATTCACATTGGCAAAAGGCAATGCAAGATGAGTTATCTGTTCTCTCTTTGAACAACACATGGTCCCTTGTTACATTACCTGCCGGTAAACAACCCATTGGTTGTAAGTGGGTCTATAAGATCAAATATCTTTCTGATGGATCTATTAAACGCTACAAGGCGCGGTTAGTTGCCAAGGGGTTCACCCAAATGGAGGGTATCAATTATTTTGATACTTTCTCTCCGGTTGCCAAACTCACCTCAGTTCGTACGCTCCTTGCTGTTGCAGCCATTAAAGGATGGCACCTTGAGCAGTTGGACGTGAACAACGCTTTCTTACATGGTGATCTTCATGAAGATGTTTATATGGAGCTGCCAAAGGGTTTATCAACTTCCTAACCTAATGCTGTTTGTAAGCTCAACAAACCCTCTATGGTCTGAAGCAGGCCAGCCGTCAATGGTATGCTAAATTGTCATCTGCCCTTATTACTCTTGGTTACCAGCAAGCTTCGGCTGATCATTCCATGTTTACTTTCTCTTCTGGTGATTCTTTCACTGTTTTGCTGATATATGTGGATGATGTCATTCTTTCAGGTAATTCTCTCACTGAGATTTCACGAGTCAAAATGTTTCTTGGTCAAGAGTTTAAGATCAAAGACCTTGGCAGTCTTCGTTTCTTTTTGGGGCTTGAAGTAGCACGCTCTCATAATGGGATTGTTCTTAATCAAAGAAAGTATGCCCTTGAGCTTGTTTCTGATGCTGGGTTGCTAGCTGCTAAGCCTATGTCTTCCCCCATGGATCCTTCTATTCGTCTTGCTCGCGATCAAGGTTCCCCACTTGCTGATGCTGCATCTTATAGAAGATTCATTGGACGCTTATTGTACTTGACCACAACTCGTCCTGACATAAGCTTTGCAGTTCACCACCTTTCTCAATTTGTTTCCCAGCCTACTGATACACATCTTTCGGCAGCTCACAGGGTGTTACGATACCTGAAAGGGTCCCCAAGCCTTGGTTTGTTCTTTCCTTCCTCAGGTGACCTCCATATTCGGGCTTTTGCAGACGCGGACTGGGCTTGTTGTCCTGATACCAGGCGCTCTGTCACTGGTTTCTGTCTTTTCATTGGTTCTTCCTTAGTCTCCTGGAAATCAAAAAAACAAACCACTGTTTCACGCTCTTCCTCGGAAGCAGAGTACAGAGCTCTTGTTGCTTTGTCATGTGAGGTTCAATGGATGCAGTATCTGTTCCAAGATTTACATATTCCATGGACCAAACCTGCCTCCATTTTCTGTGATAATAGGTTTGCCATTTACTTGGCCCATAATCCCACGTTTCACGATCGTAGTACGCATATTGAATTGGATTGTCACGTTACTCGTGAGAAAATTGTTTCTGGCCTCCTTCGTTTGTTGCCAGTTCCTTCTTCTGCTCAATTGGCAGATATTTTCACTAAGGCGTTGCCTTCTTCTGTTTTTGCTTCTATGCTTTCCAAGCTGGGCTTGACTAATTTGCTGCGCCCAGCTTGGGTTTGGGGGGGGGGGGGGGGGGGTAACACAAGAGAATGGATCAGTCCATGGATCAGCCAAAGTAAAGGAGCCAAAGTAAAGGCCCATACGTGTCAGGAAACATACAAGCTCCTCAACCAAGCTCTCATGCAACGTCACTGATATATATGCATGCAACTGATCATGATAGATAGGGTGATGAGTCAGTTACAACAGAATTTGCTCTTATATATACGAGAGCCTCAATGTAAACGTGATGAGATTCAGTAATGAAAATATTCATTTCCTTCATTTTCGTTTCTGATAGTCATATTTTATTTATTCGTTTATTTTGAAGTAGTATTCAGTCGTTTCAAAGCTAATCAATTATTTAACTTCTGAATGCAGATATTTTCTCCTTTCCTTTTTTGGGTTTATTATTAATATCAGAGCTTCACCAGTTAGCTAGCACTTGCTGTGGCAAATGGCAGCTTCTGGGGTAAGTGTCGTGGAACTTATTGCTTGAGTTATGGGTTATGTATATGCATATTTCAGATTCATACCTAACAACCATTGTTATTTTTCTTATTTCAGGTTCATTCTAACAAGCAAATGAATAGGTTGGAATCAAGGAAGTCACATTCCTGGTGGTGGGATAGTCACATCAGTCCCAAGAATTCTAAGTGGCTTTCAGAAAATCTTGATGGTAGGCAACTACAACTGCAATGGTCTTATTTCATAATTAATTATATGTAATCAAATATGTCCAAGGAAATGACAAGACGATCTTTAACCTCAGAGATGGACCGTAACGTGAAGCGGATGTTGAAGCTGATAGAGGAGGATGCGGATTCATTTGCCAAAAAAGCTGAGATGTATTATCAGAAGAGGCCAGAATTGGTTTCTCTGGTTGAGGAGTTCTACCGTGGTTACCGGTCTCTGGCTGAACGTTATGATCATGTGACAGGAGAATTGCGGAGGAATATACCTTCAGACCTCCAATCCCAAGGTTCAGGTATTTCAGATGCAAGCTCTGAACCATCCTCCACCGGGCCCTGTCCATTGAAGGGGAGCCGCCGTAACTCTGGCAATCGAGCTGCCGGGTTTGATTTCTTTCTTGGCTCTGGTGGAAATGGTTCTGATGTATACCAAAAGGATGGAGATGAGTCCTCTACTTTGACAGATTCTGAGGAGGAATCCGATGACTCATCAGTCAACAATTATTCAGGTTTCTTAGGGAATGGTGGTGATCCTGGGGTGAACAGAAGAATCATGGAGATGGAAACTGAGCGCCATGAGGTAAAAGAAAAGTTATGGATGCAGGAAGAGGAACATGCGGAGGTTTTATCTAGGGGGGCGAGAAATGATAACACTGAAGATGTTTATGCCAAAATTAATGCATATGAACAAGAACTGGTGATTGTGAATGAAAAGTTAAGACTTTCAGAAGAAGAAATCACTAAACTGAAGATTGAGCTTGAAAATTACAGATCCTTGGATTCAGGAGATTTGGAGGCTGGTGTTGAATTATCATCAACTAAAGAATACAGCAAGTCAGGAGGGGAAGCCCTGGAATCCAAGGCCTTAGAGGTTCAAGGAAACATTGATGGCGTGGATAAGGAATTAAATAAGCCTAGTAGCGAGATTGAGTCACTTGGCAAGGAGCTAAGAATTACCAAAGAAAATCTCAAGGCTTCAGAAATGCAAATTGCTTCCCTGAAATTTGTGGCCAATAAATCCTCTGAAAGAATTCAGCAGCTGCAGGATCAACTTGACTTGGCTTGGAAGGACATTGCTGCTTGGAAAACTAAATTCAACAGTGAGAAAAGAGATAGCACCAAACTCCAAGAAAGACTTGGGAGGTTAAAGACCAGTCTGTCAGACCGTGATCATGAGATCAGGGATTTGAAAACAGCTGTATCTGATGCAGAGCAGAAAATCTTCCCAGAGAAAGCTCAGTTGAAGTCGGAAATGTCCAAGTTGTTGGAGGAACGGACTCAATTAGAAGAGCAGATCAGAGAATGGGAATGTCGTGGCCGTTCTTTTGAAGAAGAGATCCGAAAGATCCAGTCTGAAAAATTAGAGATGCAGGAGGCACTCAAGAGTGAAACAGAGCTGTTAAAGGCATACATTGAGCAGAGAGAGAACAATATAAAAGATCTCAATGTAAGCCTTGATACTTTAAAATTAGAGAGAGATAATCTGAATGTAGAAGTTGGTTCTCTCAAGGAAAAGGTGAACTCCAGAGATGGTAGGATTGAACACCTGGACGGCCATTTGAACCAGCTGCACATGGAACATGTACAACTGATTGCTGAAATAGAAGAGGCACATAGACAAGTGGAAGAACTAAAATCAAAAGCTAAGAAACTCGAGGAAGAGGTTGAGAGGCAAAAAACTGTGATCTTAGAAGGAGCGGAAGAGAAACGCGAGGCCATACGACAACTATGCTTCTCACTCGAGCACTACAGAAATGGCTATAATATGCTTAGGCAGCATTTTATAGGGCACAAGCGAGTTCCAATTTTAGCTGCCTAATTAATATATCTGAATGTGATCATGTAAATTTACAACCACTCCTCCTCGCCCTTGTATTTTTGCTATCTTCATTTCTCTGTATGTGGGATGCCTTTCTTCTGCTTTTGGTTCTAATGTATGAGTCAAGATCATGAGTACTAAGAAGTAATAACGATACTTTCACTGTATCCATATCTCACCAACTTATTATATAAAAGATAAGGTTTATCTAAATAATATCCTAGATAGTAAAGGATCAAAGGACACTTCTATTAGGATTCTACATTTACAGGTAACTCCTAAAAACTTATCAGGTACACACCTCTAACTGATTTACGTATTGCTAACACTGGACACACACATATTCCTTGGTTACACACTTGTTCTTAGTGCGCAGTGATTGGTATATTGGCCTAGAGCCAATTAAATATTTCTCTCATTGATATCTCTGACCACATACTTATATGGAAGAACACTGATAAGTGTCAAAGACATTATGTTTTTAATATCAAAAGTAGTTTAAATAATGATTAATATGATTAAGAATATAGTGTTAATTAATAAATCCCAAAAGATATTAAAATTCCAACAACTAGATAAGATTCTAATCTCTTTTCATATTGTTTCAGGTTTAAAGTAACAAATTACCAATCTGATGGGCAAAGACAATTGGAATCATTTGGGAAAATCAAGATCAAGAAAATAAGGAATTAATAAAAATTAATTCTTGCTCGCTGGCCTGCTCACTTGAGCGAGCAAGCTCAGCGAGAACGTTCTTTTGAATCGTTCATCCCTCGTTATTAAGCTCGCTTCAGCGAGCAACTAAGCGACAAGTTAAAATTTGCTCACTGAGCAGCTCGCTTTAGCGAGCTCCTCAGCGAGCCTTATCCAGATTAAAAAGCCCAGTTCTTATTTCTTTAAAAAGACGAGATTAGGGTTGTGGCATTCAATTTTGGGACACGACCGAGAAAGGCTAGGAGGCAGCTAGAGATGACTTAGGAGAGAAGCTCTGTTCCGGACTTGCGGAGCAGAGAAACGGTCAAATCTTCACCGTGGAGACCGGGTGTTCTATGTTTCTTTTATGAATTTTAGTTTCTTTTCATCTCGTTCTTTAGTTTTCTTGAATATGTTAGGCTAGAGTCCTTTATGTAGTTAGGGCGAGATGGAACTAATGAGTTCTTGAACGCTGTTTAATCTTTGATGCAATTATTATCCGTATTTCTCTTATGCAATTAATCCGTTTTAATTGATAGTCTTGTTTATGATATGATCAATTGTGAATGAGCAGTAGATTTTTGCATGCTAATAGGAATATTGTATGCTTGAATCAGAATGGTTAATTGTTAGAATTTGTATGTTCTAGGGATAGTCTTACAAATTCTATGACGCATAATTCTTGACCTTAAAGCTTGCTTTAGAAAAAGACCCTAAGGTGCTATTTGGTTGGGGGTTTCTTAAAATTTTCCCATCCAAATCAAGTTGGCAATTGTTGATTTCCTTGTTTGGTAGAGAGTTTCTTAAAATTTCCTCATCTATTCATATTGCATAGCTATTTAGATTTTGCCATTGAAATGGAGCAATTGTCACTGTTTAGAAAGCTTCCTTGGAGGTGGTTTTCCTTAGTTAGATGGGTAAATGACAAAAGGTGAAAGTTAACCCAAACCAAAATACCCTCAGGTTACCAAATTTTCCCGGTAATTTTTTTCCAATCAAACAACTTTTTTTATATTTTTCTACCAAACTCACTTTCAAACCATTTTCAACCATTTCCCTAGTAATTACATTTTCTTAGTATTCAAAAAAGTTCTCCTCAACCAAACACCCCCTAAGGGATTAGAGCCTTGGAATAAAGTAAAGAACTAAAACCACCAAGGGATTGGTGAGTCAGTTACATTAGAAAGAATTGTCAATAATTGATTGCGAACTTTAATTGCATGAAAGTTAAACTTGTTGAGAAACTATTGGGAAAGTCAAGTTCCTAGCTACATCTTTTAGTAATTAAAAGTTAAAATCCGTTTTCTACGCATTATTAATTCAATTCTTGATTTCTTAAATATTGAAAAATAAAAATAATTTATAAATTAAATTAATACTCTCAACAAATTCATTTTAAGATTGATCTAACTTTAATCGCGTAGATAAGTTAGTGATTGGTAATCAGTCCTCGTGGGATAGACAACCTTACTTTTACCACTTTATTACTTGTACGATCGGTGCACTTGCCGAAGTCGCAACAAACACTCACAGTTTACTCAGATCGAACATTGACGCCATATGTGGGGAACCGTAAATTTTGATTCCCACTCCACAATGACAAACACAGGTGGAACAACTGGCAACACTCAACCCCCGCTGCAACACTAGTATGCGAGTGACCACCTCTAGGATCTCGGCAGTCCAATACTGGTGGAGGTGTAGGTAGGCGAGGTAGGGACTGAGTTAATGCCGATCACAACCTGAGGCAACTTCGTGCCTAATCAGGCTCGCCAGCTTCCACGGGATGAGCAGCCCAGAGGTGACAATAACATTGTTAATATTTCCTTGAATGCAATATTATTAAGGATGCAGGAGATGGAGAACAGATTCCTAGCGCGACAGTGGTAGGATGCTCAAAGGATTGAAGCCCTGAAAACAGAAATGTTGAACCAGTTAATCAATGGCCGAGCTGAGCATATATGAAACGGAGGCTGAGATGCCGGGATGCCGATGACCGCCATGATGACGAGGACGTAAATGACAGCCCATTTACTGAGAGACTGATGAACATGTCGATCCCGCTGAGGTTCAAGAAGGCCAAAATACCGCCCTAAGATGGTAGTCAAGACCTTGATGCCCACCTAGAGGCTTTCAAGATGGAGATGCCTTTCAACGGAAAAACTGGACCTATTAAGGCCAGAAATTTTGCAACTACTCTAACAGGTCAGGAAATGACTTAGATCATGAGGCTACCCAGACACTCGATTGATTCATTCGATGAACTTGCTTGCACATTTCTTCTGAATTTTGGCATAAGTTAGGCGCTTCCCATGCCAACCTATGCATAAGGTCGGATTTGACAAAAAGAGGGAGAAACATTGCGAAAGTATCTCGACCGTTTCAAGGAAGCCGAGCTCAAAGTGCGAAATCTAACTGAAGCAGTCCATTTGCATCTGAATATCTTGGGATTGGACGGTTTGGACGGTGAATCCTCTCTGGCCAAGTCTATATACAAAAACCCTGTCAATGGTTTGGAGGAATTCAGACGAAGGTTGGATAAATACATTGACATGGAAGACATGTAACATGCTTATAGTGAAGATCGAGGTCGGAGCCCAGGTCGCCAAAGCCCAAACAAAAAGAATAAAGATAGAGATAAGTAGGGACCAAAAAGGCAGTCAAATCCCACAATAAAAGAACAAATGAACGATCCTCGAGAACCAATGTTTCCAGATCTCGAATCTGGAGAGAGCTTGCCCAGACCGAGCTGCATAATGTTGAAAGACCTAAGCCCATCAAGAACAAGGGCAACCTGGATCAAACTAAATTCTGTGTTTTACATTATGGAAATGATTATACTACGGATGAGTGCTGGGACCTTCGAGATGCTATTGAGAAGCACATTAGAGAAGGAAAATTGAAGCAGTACCTCATCCGCACTCAAGGGAAGAAAAATAACAAGCGCAGACAGCGAAGTCGTAGTATGAGTCCGAGCCCAAAAAGGGAAAGTAAGAGAGTCCGAGATAAAAATCACCCAGGAAAAGGCAAGAAAGCGGAAGCCAAAGACGATGAATATCGAGATGCTGAGTACGAATGCAATGTAATAAGTGGAGAATTCGGAGGCGACAGTGATACTGCCAGTGCCAGGAGGAAGTACCTTAGAGAGGACATGTCAGTCATAGATAGACTTGTTTTCAAAAAAGAAGAAGGGAAAAGTCCAATCCTCCAAAGTTATTTTTCACCGAGGAAGATTTCGAGAAGGTCATCCCAGGCCACACTGACGGTCTAGTAATTACCGGGATGCTGGTTAACTACCGAGTTAAAAGAATGTTCATAGACCTCGAAAGTTCAGCTAATATTCTCTTTTGGAATGTTTTCCAAAAGATGAATCTGGACGAACAAGATTTAAAACCATGCATAACCGAGTTAATAGGATTCAATAGAGAACAGTCTCCCCTCAAAGGATATGTTGATTTGAAACTCACATTGGGGGCAAGGGAGGAATTCTGAGCTGGCAGAGTCCACATCATCGTGGTCGATGCATCCTCATCCTATAATGTAATAATTGGCCGACCTGTAATTCACAAATGGGACATGCTCGTCTCCACTAAGCATCAAACTTTGAAAATGATGGGGGTCAAAAAATGAGGTTGTCACTATTAGAGGAGATCAGAAAGAAGCTAGAGAGTGTTACTATAAAACACTCAAGGTGTCTCAGGGTGGCCCATCATCCCCCCTAGGATCAGAGAAGGTCTGGGCCAAGCCAGAATCTGTGTATCCATGCGGCAACCAAATCAACATGGTCAAGATGGATATGAGGGAGGAATTACAAAGCTTGAGGCCGTAACCCGAAGGAGAATTGGACGCTGTCACAATTGGAGAAAGCGACAAATGTTACCCCAAGATTGACAAGAACATGGAAGCCGAGGTAAGGGAACAACTGACTACTAAAAACTTTAGGTGCCTACCAAGCTCTTTCTTGGCATCCCTTTTCATGTTCCATACAAGGAACGAGCACATCTTTGAGACTAAGGAGTAGCAGGCTGGACTTGCACTTGCAGCACCTTGTTATTCAAACAAAGAGACTTTTTCTATTTGTTTGTATCCAAATTGTTCTTCGAATTAATTTTTTATTTTCCTTGGACGACCAATTGGTCTTGGGGCTGTCCTTACCAGTTGACTTGGTTCTTTGGTCATGTTTCCACGACGATCACAATCTTTTTGGGCTGCACTATCATCCATTAATTTAGAGGGGATCAATAGAGAGCCAGCTAGGGTAGCTTCTTCTAGTGTTTCACCCGTGGTAGGGGTGTAAATGGGCTTTTGCTTTCCTGGCCCAAGCCTACGTCAAAAAAAATTCAGCCTATCTGGCCTACTGGCCTATTAAAGGCTTTATTTGTAAGTCAAGCCCGACCTATTTTTAAAAATAAGAAAGCCTGACATGGCCTACAGGCCTT